ATAATATATATATATATATATATATATATATATATATATATATATATATATATATATATATATATATATATATATATTAAGGTGAAAATATTCTTGAGTGTGTATTATAAAATTTCCATACCCAGCATAAGCAGAAAGATAAAGTCTGCCGCGGCTGGGTCTTGAACCCGCGACCTTCGAATTACTAGATCGACGCTCTACCAACTGAGCTACACGGTCAGACGGATTTAAGACTGGAAATATATGAAATATATTGAAAATATAGGAGGAAATATTATGAAATATATACTGAATGTCATAAACATACTCGTTTATATTAATTCAGCATCGAACAATACTAGTTACCAGGGTCTTAGCTACAGGGCCGTGTTGGCCGTGTTATCGCGGCCAAAAATGGAAAAACACGGCTAGATAAAATGAACGCGGCTTCATTATTTATATAAGGCCGTGTACGTTCATAAAATAACGTGTTGCTACTTACAACAGACAGAATTTCTTCCTATTTACGTCGTAAGAAAGATTGTAAAATCTACTGTTGTTGTTGAATTTGGCAAAAGTCATGCGTGATGTTTTGATGGAATTATCCATGGTGTTAAAATGGCTTTAAATACCCCCAAGAGTTGCTAAAATAACTTACTATTTTAATGTCTGTACGCAGTGTGAGCGTATAGCCTTGTATTTGGTTGCAACTCATACAACAACCACAGGCATTGTCTGTTGCTGGCAAGCATAACTAGAACCGTGAATTTGGCTATTACATGGGCACACCCAGCCTAGACCTTCTATTTTTATTATTTTTTAATATTCAGCGCTTTTTCACATGAAAAGACTGGGACTAGGTGATTTGGGGGCGGGGCGGAGGATGACGCAAGCGAAAAAATAGAAGGCCTAGTGGATTTCCCAACAACAAGGCCAAAACTGCCCTGGAGCTGCCCTGGTTGCGAAGTGCCCAATTATTGCGTTCTCAAACAGAATTATTTGCAACTTAACAGCGAATTTAATTAAACCGATACAAGTAAAATAAACTCATGTATAGTATAAACGTACTATTTTTATTTATATACACGCCTAGAAAATCGGGTTTTTTATCATAAAGTGTGAAGCTACACTATTATTATGTTGCGAAAGGTCAAAATGAGTCAAAATATTACTACAAAATAGAACTTAGTTTGGTCGTAAAATGTTTTTATAGTCAATGTAATAACTATTGGACAGTATAAATTGCTTTAGTTGTTGGTTTCTGATCAATTTCGGATCACAAAGTTATGGGGCTAATTTGAAAACTTGTGAAATCTAGTAGGCCTTTACGAGGCAAATGACCATTGCGATAATTACCAGCCGAGTTTAGGCCTAGGTCTAGGCTGGGGCACACCCTGGTTATTTAGAAACACGCCCAAGATCTAAAATCCTAGCTAAGACCCTGCTAGTTACATACAGTTATATCAACACAATTGACAAGTGGAAATTGGGAAAATGAGAAATTGTGTGGAAACACGACAAATAGTATAAAAAATATGTATATGACAAATAGCACAAGGTTTTACCCCATGGAAAATCTATACTAAATATCTTGTTGTATTTATAATTGCTCATGAGAATGAAAGATTCTGCAGGGCCCCGGGTGCCTACATATGATGTTATAAAACATTGCTCTGTTTCGATGCAAGAGAACACCAGGTCTACGGGAGCCTGAACTCAAGAATGACACAACACAGAATAAAAAGAGACCTTACAGAAGGCTGACTTCTTGATTTTGCCAATGATTTTGACTTTCTGTGTGGTCTATTCTGTGATACTGGTATTTAATATTTTTGCAGTACCGATTCCCTCTTGTCTCAACAGTATAGTGCGATGCTTAAATTACACTACTAGTAGATTTCATCTTTAATTATCAAATGTTTGTTTTAATTTTAGCTGTTCCTGGAATGGTCAAGGTAAGTGAATAAATATTTATTGGAGAACATGTTAATTTTCTGATTGGTTTTCTGAAACTAAAATTATTATTACGGTATTGCAAGTTTCTGTAAACATTGAGTTTTGAAAAAGGTTTTAATTCTCATTCCACGAAATTTCATTGTTATATTGCTTAGTTAAACAATCTTTAAATTTACCACAACTTGATTCTTAAAAACTCATTTCTCAATGGTGGAAGTAAATGTGATTTCATATCTGATCGTACATACTTTTTTCTATACGATAACATACTTTTTTCTATGTATGAATAGCAAATTATAATCGTATTTAAGGCCACTCCAAATTAGACTTTATATAGTTTCCCGTCCTCCGCCCGCGTCTCCTAGAACTGGCCGCATGGTTTGTCCATTGGCATTATTGCTAACTTGTTTCCATTATTTGACCTTTATGACTAAGAATAACGAATATCGACAGTTTTCGAATAATCTATCTTTCTAGAAATACATTTTTATAATATAATACGTAAAAATCGAAATAAAATTGTTGAAACTTTTATGAAAGAGCATGAATTGTTGTTTTTGTTCGTTTTTACCACACTATCCGCCGAGCTAGACACTTTCGTTACATGTTTTGATTTTCGAACGTAATAAAAGGATAAGCTTAATTAATATCCTGCAATCTGCATGGCTTTCATTTCTGCATATACAAAAAATCCAAAACATCATCCGTAGAAACGTGGCCGAATGGAAACGTGTTTCTATTTCATGGAATAATGAATGGTTGTGTCAGATTCTTTCAGACACCATAATGGATAATGGAAATGGATCGCCCGCCCGCATGTAATTTGAAATAAGGGCTGGACGGACACTAAAATCTAATTTGGAGTGGCCTTATTATATACTGTATATATTCGCAAACTTTTACTACCCTAATATTGACTTTGAATTGGTTTACTTATTTAATTAATTAAACAAAACAAATTGACGTAATTATAAATACATTTTCTAGGGGTCTAGGCAAAAAAGCCGAATGGTTTCAAACAGACTCCTAGCCCTTTTCTTCCTTAATATTAGTATTTTTATGTAAATAAATAAATCAAATAAAAAAATAACATAAAAATAATTTTATAACATGATTGTTTGCTTATTCTCCTAATGTATGTACCGGTACGCAGGAATTAAGGTTGACCATCATGAGATGTGTAGCGTATATAACACACTTTATTCGAAGGTGCATGGGTATACTGGCTTTCTTTTTTTTGGGGGGGGAGGAGTTCATTACTGGATATGCAAATGGGAGATAAATTAAACAAGTTAGAAGAAAGAGAAGAGAAAAATTGATAACTTTATCAGGGTTCAAATTAATTCTGAGAAAATCATGCTTCCTGAACTTTTACGGAATCATATAACGCTCATACGTGGATTGTAATGGTAATTAAATTACAGGCAGGCATTTAGCCAGATAGCCGTCCAACTGTCCTATGGACGGCCACTTTTGAATTTATGTGACGAATTCTGAATGGACAGCCATGGATGGCCTAAGAAATTGTTTTTAAGCTTTATAACATTTTGTGAATATCTTAAAAGTTGTCAGCTGCTAATCACCTTATCTATAGCATACATTTTGACACTTTTGTCGAAAAGCCACTGAATGTGTTTATGACAGAAATGGGTTTCCACACCCACGGTATTTTTTGGATGGCCAGTTTTATCACCCTGGCTAAAATCCTAATTACAGGCCATACAGCAGTTAAGGCAGTTTTATATTAAATTTACTTTTTAGTATATTAACAATACACCTATTGATCCCTCAGGAAAGATGCCAATCCCAAGTATTATTGTTTTGCTTCTCATTTCCTCTGCCGTCATTTCCTCTGCCCTTATGTGAATGAATGTATTGTCCTAAATTCTTACAGTATATGTGTATAATTATACGGTTAATTTTATTAACATGATTTATATTCCAGACGCCCTGGGCTGGAGCTTGTTACAAGTTGAATGTGCAGTTCCCTGAAGAGTATCCTTATTCGCCACCAAAATGTAAGAATGACATAGAAATAACCTATGACTGCATGTCGGGAAAAATCACAGTCACACAACTGCAATAGCCTCTCATTTATAATATTCATTAAATTGCTGTGGATAATTTATGCCATCCTCTAAGGGGAGTTCCGAGAATGCGGTAAGTGCGTTGCTCAGACAACTCAAAAATACAAAATAGTATAGTATGTTGGCTGGCCGTTTTTCTAGCTTCACCCCGTAAGCTCTGCCCCCAAGTACGGCCAAAGCTCCGCTGGCTAGTATTGTATAGAATCGTTAGCTTCAAATGTTTATTTTAGGTCAGTTCAATCCACCTATATTTCATCCTAATGTTTTCCCATCTGGAACTGTCAGTCTGTCGCTCATAGACAAAAATAATGGATGGAAACCGCAGACAACTTTAAGAGAGGTGAACCATGGTGTTGACTTGAGAAGTTGATCTTAATCAGTGACCACGCATCATTAGTATTACGTATATACTTGTTATTGCATTTTTAGGTACTTGTCGGAATTCAGCTGCTTTTGAGTGATCCTAATTTCGACAATCCTGCGCAGGCCGAAGCGTCTGCTGTGTACTAGTAAGTGTACATGAAAACATTTTAGTTATTACAGTACTCTTGCTTCACCAGTATGCTTAGTTGGGAAACGGTAAATGAGAAACTGGTAAAACAAGTTGTTTGACAAGTTTTTGTTGTCGTGCGCATGGGTAAATGCTTGGCACTGCTGGTAAAATCGGAGCCAGTTGTACAAAAACAACATCACGTTCTAAATATAGTAACACGCTTAAATGTAATGCCTGTGGTAATACCTTGTACAAAATATTTAATATAACTGTACAAATATTGAATAAAATGTAAGAAAATATACATCAAGATGACTTGAAAACCGCATAGAGTTCAAAAGAATAACTATAAATTCTACACTGTAACAAAAATCAACCGTTTAGAGAAATATGTTTTGTAGCGGTTGCGACGATTAATAAAAAAGGGCAATAATTGTCAAAATCCACAGTAATAAACATATTATTTGGAAACTTTCAAAATTGGAATTTACTCTACCGAAAACCTTAACACAATCTCCAACGTTAAAGTAACACTAATAAAGTTTGTAGACCAAATAAAAAAATGATATTGATCGGATAAATACAAAAATTCAAAAAGATATAACAGAAATTCAAATGCAAAATTTGTAGCATGAGACACCGATTTCAAAATATTTTAGTATTGGCAGCGACGATATTAAAACCGATACATAAATTGTGAACTGCATGTGGAATAAAAAGTCGTTTGATTAAAACTGACAGACAACAAACAAAAGAGTGAGTCAGTATTATGTCACGCTTGTTTACAGACAATCTCGTTCCCCGAGCCTGCCAAGGATCGCAGGCTCGGGGAACGAGATTGATTTACAGATAAAAACTACAGGAGAGAAAGTCAAATTTAAAGTGACGTCGCGTTGGTCGCATCACGCGATCTTCGCGCAAGCTCGATAGAAATCGTTCGTTTGCTCGCAGTGGTTTCTCCTCAGCTCAGAAACCACTGCCAGCAGGGTACAACTATGTAAGCAACGTTAGCCAAATTTGTCTATCCAGGCTTTTCTGATAAACAGGATGCAGGTATTTAAATCCTTTCACCACTACTATTTAAAATTATTCCAATAGTAAAATATTGCCAATTATTCCAAGAGTTGTGCACTGGTTGACGCCGTCTTTTTCTGTGGAAAGGTTCGAAAATCCCCTTATTTTTCGATATTTTATACCAAATAAAGTATTGCATTTAGCAACTGGTTGAATATTTTCTAACAATGATGCGTAAATCAATTGTATTATTATTGCCAATTGGGTAACATTCTAGACAATTTCTGGTTAATACGACTACGTTTAGCCTTCAGTAACCAGTAACTGTTACCTCACAGTATATAGCCTTTCTAAACGCCATGGGGTGGCAGACCGCACGGAGAATATAGACTGCAAACGAGTTTCAAAGGAGTGAATTTAGTGAAGCAGAAACACAGTACTAGTACTGTGATGTTTATGAGCATTTTTTAGTTAGTGTTGTTGCGCGATTTGCCCACTGATCATTAAGACAGTAGGTTTGCCTCCCATAAATGGCGGGGAAGGCCTGTTGGCATGGCGTATTAATTATGTCCCCTGTTTTTTTGCAGTAAAAGCCAATCTGATTACGAACAACGTGTAACTAAACAAGCAGGGGAAATGGCGATGAAGTAGCCTCCGCATGCAATATGGTGCCGTTGCATAGACGATATATGCGCAAGCAAGCCGAATTATCAGACCAATGGCAATGGTGAAATAATGACTGGCGTCATTCTGTGAAAATATTGGGATTGCACAGCTATGATTATATTTTGTAAATTATAACTAAACAATTTAGTAGCATGATATGCTATAGCTAAAAACAACAAACAATTAATATACAAATCAATATATACTGAGCCTCTGAGGTCATATATTAGACATTTGGTGGTTTTTTTTGTCATATTTAGTCGCTGGGGCACTCTGTGCCGCCATGGTTGCAGTCTACATGGTTTAACTTTCGGTTTAACTTTAGGACAGCAATTATACGCTTTCCAAATCTTTCCAAAACGTTTCTCTCGAAAAGATGTATTGATAATATCCGTTAATGGAAAGGATAGTTCCTTGCAAAAGCGTTTTATGATTATCTGAGGCGGGTCGAAAGGGCCAGCTGATTTCTTAACATTTATTTGATTGAGTTTTTTTTCCACTGATGCCCTGGATACAATGGGAAGTGTTAGACTCTGGCCCGTTATCAGGTGGTCGTCAGAGATCTTTACATAATCTTTAGTCGAGTTGACAAGGTAATTATTAATTTCTTCAGCTGACTCTGAAGAAGTCAGTGGTTCTCCATTTTCAGGGTTCGTGAGGAAAATCTGTTGATTTTTACTGGAATTACAAATTTTATTGATCGTGCTCCACCAAGATTTAGGGTCGTTAGATCGCAGGGGTCTGATTTTCTTCGCGTAGAAGGTCTTCTTAGCTTTCTTAATTTCTTCTGAAACTATGTTACGCAAACGTTTATAGTCCCTTTGATCACTCTTCGTATAAGCTCTTTCTCGCTTCAAGATTAAATTTTTTATCTTCCCAATAATAAAAGGTTTCATCTTCAGCATGAAATTTAGCAGTCAACTTGGGAAAGTGTACATCGATTTGGTCGTTTATAGTTTGAGTAAAATGTTCTACTTTCTCATCAAGGGTTGTTGAATTTTCTACTGCAGTCCATTGGTGAGTGGATAACCACTGTCCAAATGCTTCCAATCCGGATTCTTTAATCGGACTTACCTCCTCCGCTAATGTCGTTGCCTGGTATTAGGCCTACAAATGGGAAAATGATAATCAATTTTGTTAAGTTATGCTCATAATACTTCATATAACAATAATGTAATTAGTTGTGATTTTAGTTCAGTTAACCAATGATATGATTAAGACAATGAATACAATATATTTCCTGTAATACCATATATAGCATGATTAATAATTATTCTGACCAATTGTAATTTAGCACATTGTAACATAAACGCACTTGATGTAAAATAAAACTTAGTTCTTGTATGCTTCCACAGAGTGTGTATCTCTTGTAATAAAGAATGACAATTATATAATAATGACAACTACAACGAACTCAACAGGTTATGGGCCCAGGAGAGGCTTGCTATTCGACGGTAACGAAAGCAAATATGAGTTGTGGGAAGTAAGGTTCCTGGGCTATATGCGGCTACAAAAGATATATAAAGTATTCGTGCGAGACGCAAGCGAGAAAGACCCACCAGACGCTTTGACGCAAGCTGATGCTTTTGCCGAACTCGTGCAATGTCTGGACGATAGAAGTTTATCGCTAGTGATACGAGACGCGAGAGACGACGGGAGGAAAGCGCTAGAAGTTCTCAGACAGCACTACCAAGGGAAGGGAAAGCCACGTATAATTTCGCTTTATACCGAACTGACATCGCTAAAGAAAGAAGAGAACGAGCCAATAGTCGCGGATTATGTCATACGAGCCGAGTCATTTGCGACAGCGTTACGAAATGCCGAGGAAGCTATCAGCGACGCATTGTTAATCGCGATGGTTTTGAAAGGCTTACCGAGGGAATACGACACGTTTGCCACGGTAGTTGTGCAAAGAGAGAAACAAATGACTTTCGCCGAATTCAAGAGCGCGCTACGAAGCCACGAGGAAAGCGCAAAGACACATGGTGGGAAGGCTGCCAGCGCGGGGGAGAATATCATGTTGACGAAGCAAAAGTTCGATGGGAACTGTTTTAAATGCGGGAGAAAGGGACATAAAAGCGTGGAGTGTTGGTCGAAGACATCGGAAAGATGGTGTAGCAACTGTAAAAGTAAAACCCACGAGACAAAGAATTGCCGGAAGAAGAAAGATGCGGCGAAGACAGCAGCCGAGAAGACAACGTCAAGTGAGAACAATGAACATACGTTTGCCTTTACATCCAAGGACACAATTAATATATCAGGTATAAATAATAAGAGTAATTCTAGTTTATTAGTAGATACTGGAGCCACAAGTCACATTATAAATGACAAATCAAAATTTGTGGACTTTGATAAAGAATTTAATCCTAGTGCGCATGTCATAGAACTCGCTGATGGCAGTAAAGCCAACGTAGTATTAGGAAAAGGAAATGCCAAAGTTAAACTTTATGACGTCAATGGTAATGCACGTGAAGTAATGTTAAATAGCGCATTGTATGTTCCGTCCTATGATCAAAATATTTTTTCAGTGCATGCTGCGATAGAAAGGGGGGCCAGTATTAGTTTAGATAAGCAGGTGAAACAGCTCAAATGTCCTGATGGCACAACGTTTGGAATGGAACAAAAAGGTAGGTTATATTATTTAAATAGTATTTCATCCTCTAAGAATAGTGCATGTTCTCTGCATGAATGGCATAAAATCCTTGGTCACTGTAATTATGGTGATGTTCAGAAATTGGAAAATGTTGTAGAGGGGATGAATATTTCCAACTATGATGAAGTAGAGTGTACTGTTTGCACTAAAGGTAAGATGTGCCAATTTAGGAATAGATCCCCAGATGAAAGAGCAACTGCTCCATTAGATTTTGTGCATTGTGACCTGGCTGGTCCTATTGATCCTGCAGGAAGAGATGGCTTTAAGTATGCTTTGTCATTCGTTGATGACTATTCAAGGATTATTATGGTCTATTTTCTAAAATGTAAGAGTGATACTTCAGAAGCATTACAGCAATATTTGGCTGACGCTGCTCCTTTTGGGAGGGTTAAGCGTGTCAGGAGTGACAATGGCACAGAATTCACTAGTCATCAATTCAAATCTATTCTTCGAGAAAATAGGATAAGGCATGAGACTAGTGCACCATATTCCCCACATCAGAATGGAACGGTGGAAAGAGCATGGTTGAGTCTTTTTAATATGGCTAGATGTTTGTTGCTTGAGGCAAACTTGCCAAAGTCCATATGGACTTATGCTGTTATGGCAGCAGCCTACATCAGAAATCGTTGCTTCAATGCGAGATTGGGCAAAACTCCTTATGAGGCATTTACAGAGTCTAAACCAGATTTGAGCAATATGCATGTCTTTGGTTCCGTTTGTTACGCATATGTGCAAAATGCAAAGAAATTAGATCCTAGAAGTAAACAGGGTATATTTGTAGGATATGATAAAAGAAGTCCTGCATATCTTGTCTTTTATCCTGATTCCAATAAGGTTGAACGTGTAAGGTGTGTGAAATTTTTCAATGAGAGCAACCATGAATCTAAGGTTAATCCTGACGAACAGGAAGGGGAATTTCTGCCCAGTAAAGTGTCTGTACCTATTGCCAATGAGAGTGTAATATCAACACAAGGGGATGAAAGTGTAAATGGCACTGAAACTGTGCATGATGAAGTACGGTACCCTAGTCGAACTCGTACTAAGCCAACATATTTGAATGAATATGTAACTGGTAAGGTTGTTGATGATGCAGCAACATGTGCAGTTGATTATTGCTATAGAACCCATGACATTCCAACTAGCTATTCCGAAGCAGTACATTCTCCTGAAAGAAATAAATGGGAAAAAGCCATGGATGATGAAATTGAGGCCTTAGAGGGCAATGAAACTTTTGAGTTGGTCCCACCCCCAAAGGGCCGTGAGGTAGTGGGGGGGGGGGGAATGGGTGTATACCGTTAAGACAGGACCAGATAAGGCTGAAACATACAAAGCTCGTTATGTAGCAAAAGGCTACTCGCAGATTCCTGGTATTGATTACCATGAAACCTTTTCCCCAACCGCTCGGATGAGCTCTATTCGTGTTTTATTACAGCAGGCAATTCAGAATGATATGCTTGTTCATCAGATGGACGTAAAACAGCCTATTTAAATGCCCCAATAGACTGTGAGATTTTCATAGAACAGCCAGAAGGCTACGAAAGGGTAGGACAAAATGGTGAGAGGTTGGTGTGCAAATTAAATAAGTCTTTGTACGGTCTTAAGCAGAGTGGACGCAATTGGAACAACATGCTACATGATTACCTTATGAAGGAGAGCTTCACTCAATCACTTGCTGACCCATGTGTTTACATTAGAAATGGTGGTACAAATGAATGTACAATTATCATCATTTGGGTTGACGATCTCATAATTTCTGCTAGCCATGAAATTCTTTTGCAGAGTGTGAAAGATTCTTTAAGTAATAAATTTAGAATGAAGGACCTAGGGGTATTGTCATGGTTCCTAGGTACAGAATTCAAGTGTTCAGAAGGTGCAATTGAAATGAGCCAAAAGCAATATATTGAGAAATTGCTGTTAAGGTTTGGCATGGCAGAATGCAAGTCAAAGGTGACCCCAACGGTACTAGGTTTAGATAAGGTTGTGGATACGAAATCACCTGAATTAAAAGATCCAACTCTTTATAGAGCGATAATTGGGAGCTTAATATATGTGATGACAGGTACAAGGCCTGATTTGTGTTATATAGTCACTAATTAAGCTTTCCCAAAACATGTCGAAACCCACTGAAGCTAACTTTATTGCTGCAAAACATGTTCTAAGGTATTTGAAAGGAACAATTGAGCAAAGATTGAGATTCAGGAAATCTGAGAGTACTCTAAAACTTATTGTGTTTTGTGACTCAGATTGGGGAGGTGATGTTTGTGACAGGCGTAGCATATCTGGCTACGGTTTTCAGTTGTTGGATGAGGGTTCTTTAGTTTCTTGGAGAAGTCGAAAACAGCCAACTGTTGCACTGTCCACATGTGAGGCAGAGTATATGGCACTGACAGATGCAGTGCAGGAAGCCAAGTTCTTAAAGCAGTTGTGTGTTGATCTAAATATTGTTCAGGTAAGTTATAGTGTTCTGGTAAATGGTGACAACCAAGGTGCAATCAATTTAGCTAAGAACCCTATGTACCATAAAAGATCAAAACATATCGATGTGAAGTATCATTTCATTCGAAGTGAAGTTCGAACAGGTAGTATAGTATTAGCATATATTCCAACGGACGAGAATGTAGCAGATATCTTTACAAAGCCAGTTAGTAAAGTCAAGTTAGATAAGTTTGGACCATTTATTTCAGGTAAGTATCATTCAGCATAAGAGCAAGTGGGGGTGTTAAGTTATGCTCATAATACTTCATATAATAATAATGTAATTAGTTGTGATTTTAGTTCAGTTAACCAATGATATGATTAAGACAATGAATACAATATATTTCCTGTAATACCATATATAGCATGATTAACAATTATTCTGACCAATTGTAATTTAGCACATTGTAACATAAACGCACTTGATGTAAAATAAAACTTAGTTCTTGTATGCTTCCACAGAGTGTGTATCTCTTGTAATAAAGAATGACAATTATATAATAATTATATGACAACTACAACGAACTCAACAATTGGCATTGCAGATTTTTTTATTATTTGTATAATGAAAGTTTTTAGTGGTGCAATATATACAGCATGCAAAATTTGAACAAAGGTCACCAGACAGAATAGAGAGATGGCGCATTGTTTTTCTAAAATGGAAAATTCTAATGACGTCAGCAATTGACATAAAAACGCTATACAGCTTCCGCGACCTGCGCGTAAAAATGGTCACCCGGTTTTGTTGGCGATTCTTGTGCAGGGCTAGGGTTTTCGTGATAACTATAACGAGCCACCTTAAACCGTTTTGATACTTTTTAGTGCAAAGTTTATATTTAGAAAATTTGCACTATTATCATGAGCCTTAAAATTTACATCAGCTAGGGATTATAAACGAATGTTAACATTCTGGGGGGTGCAATTTGAAGACTGTATTTCGAAAATAAGTCATATTTTCCAATATTTTGGCGTATTTTGTTTCTTGAAGACTCAAAAACATTACATTCTTATTGAGTAAGCAATTTAAGCCACATCCCTTCAAATATCTATCATATCGAAGTCTTAACATCGCCTTTTCTGCCTTCTCTTTTACACATTCCTGACATTCTTTTCAGTGTCCTCCCCCTGAATTTGCTCGCATGTGCCTCATCACGAGAACCGCGCGGGTATTGCATCATATGCGGCTAGTTTGTGGGAAATTTGCAATTGATGTAAACGTGGAAATGCACGGGTAAAATTTTCTGAGTTCCTAGAGAATGCGATTGATATATTCCTGTCTCTTGTGTTCAAAATGACCAAGAATTTTTGGCAAATCAATGGCACAATTCAACATCGTATGATTTTATGCCGCATACTACATAAAGCATTTTCTCAGTGTTCCTGGCGAAATCAGTTCATTTTCAGTATAATGAACTTTTCGATATTTTTGCCTCTACATCAGAAGTATAGATAAGTGGAGCAGCGTCTGAAACTGGTTTAATGTTCTTTCTAAATCGGAGTTTATTACAATTGCATATCTTGTAACGAAGTTTTGTACTTTGATGCAAAACGTATTAGCAGCTGGGTAGTATAATCTGCAATCAGTGCAGACCAAGAATAATAAAAGTGCAGATTACGTGTAAATTGCAGTCTTAAATTGCAGACTTTCACCCGGTATAAAATGCAGACTACGGAATAAAACATAATTTATAAAAAAAAAACTATGTCAAAGGTCCTGTTAATTTATTTCTGCCTATACCAAAACGTCTCCTTAGCGGAACAAAATTTCCGTAATGGTACAGTTTGAAAATGAATGAAAACTGAAAATTATACCCCGTTGCCGTCGAATTGCGCCCCGTTGGCTTTAATATTTAAATCATAAAGCGTGGCCTTTTTATGTTATGCCGTTTCCTGTATGATGCATACATTTTAATTTGTAGTCTATTAATTCAAAAAACTTGCGCGTTGGAACAAAATTCTATACGTATACATGCAGGACAAAATTAGACGCTATTGTCTAATTGAAATTAATAAATTTATACCAGCGCTATACATCTATAATATTTATATCATAAGCATAAGCTATATAATAAGACAACTGATTCATTCATCGTCTGTATTGTTCTAAACAAAGTAGCAAATACATGCGTATTCCAACAAGCACACTAAAGGTGGAGTTACATGCACGAGCAACAAAATTGCTGCAACTTGCAACAAAATCTGATTTCAACGCATGTTAATTAATTAATTAAAAATGTTTACACATACATTACAAATCACAAGGCAACATGTGTCGACATTTCTACTTAACATGCGTTGAAATCAGATTTTGTTGCAAGTTACAGCAATTTTGTTGTTCGTGTAACTCCAGCTTAAGGCCTGTTTTATATTTTCGTCGAATTTCTGTTTCGTCGAATGCAATTCAAACAATAGATAATGAAGCTCGATGAGGTTTTATCATCTCATGTATCTACAGGGTGTATAAAAAAAACGCAATCCTACGTTCAAATGAAATTTTCATAACGAAAAGAATTAGGAAATAGGCTATATTTACCACTGTTAGAAAGCTCTATCATTCCGCACTCTTAAGACTGCTTAATATTGACCATTAAAATAAGACATATTAAATTTGAGTTGGAAATGAGCGAGTAATGTTATTTTTAGTAAGTGTAATTGGACAATTTAAAATTTGAGATAGCTTGAATTTTATTAAAAATTTAACTTTAGTTGGTTACAATTATTCAACGTGGCCACCATTTCTCAGCACACACAAATCACTTCGACGTTGCATTTCTCGTGCAACTCTTCTTATAAGTTCACGATTTCCATGCAAAGCATCTGCTTCAAGCTGTATCTTCTTTCTCAGATCGTTGATATCTTCTGGTGGCGTCTGTAATAATGAACGTCTGGTGGTTTGCCTCCGGGAGCGTACTGGCGGACATTAGAGACCTTAAGATTGACGTTTACGGCAAACGTCAAACCGCTAGCGAAGTTTTTGATTTTACAACTCTATTATTATAGCTTTTACACCAGTTTTGAAATATGTTAAACTTATTAAACTTGTGCTCTTTATCAATGATTTAAAGAAAGCAAATTAACCACTAGTCATCCCATTCACCAAAGCAGTAAATTAAGATTTGGCGTTTGAAGTTGACGTTTGGCGTATAAATTTCATGCTTGAACTGCTACGAGGGCTTGTAGTCGTTAAAGCATGAAATTTATACGCCAAACGTCAATTTCAATCGCCAAATCTTAATTTACTGCTTTGGTGAATGGCATGACTAGTGGTTAATTTGCTTTCTTAAATCATTGATAAAGAGCACAAGTTTAATAAGTTTAACATATTTCAAAACTGGTGTGAAAGCTATAATAATAGAGTTGTAAAATCAAAAACTTCGCTAGCGGTTTGACGTTTGCCGTAAACGTCAATCTTAAGGTCTCTATTGTGAGAATTAACTTCACCATTCATACAAAATCCGGCCTCGTCCCAACAACGAAATTTGCTAAGAATCGAGGGTTTCGTAGCTGTTGGTTGAACCATCGGCAGAATTCAAGTCGCCTCGGGATAATCATTGTCTTTTAACTCGTGTCGAACGTTTATTTGGTAAGGATGCCATCTTAAGTCCTGACGCGTGATTTAGTTAAATGTTGCCGACGGAAGGCCGAGTACGTTCCTTCTTGAACTCACATGTGGGTTGTTTTCAAGCTGTTGAGCGACTGCTTCAATATTTTCTTCGGATCTTCCAGTTTTCATTCTTCCCGAATTTCCCTTGTTTCGATTAAGACTCGTGCCGTGCTGCCGGCATTTACGTGCGTTACGCGAAACGGTCGTCGAATTTGGGACGTGTCGATCCGGGAAAGCTATTCGAAACAATCTTAAAACTTCCTGAATACTTTTTGTTACAAAGTAAATTTCAACAATAAAAGTTCTTTCTGCCGTAATGAGCCGTGGCATGATGCCTAAGACTTTAAAATTATTTAGCGGAAACATTCCAAACAAATTATTCGCATGCAATGATAACGTACCTTTGGGAATTAAGAATGTCGAGTTCGAAGCATCTAAAAATGACTGCTTGCAGTAAATCACTTATTTTGAAGTTATAAATGGCCTAAAATTCACAATCGACCACTTATTGAATAGAAGAAAGATAAGGCCAAAACATGAACGTTAAGACATGGAAATCCATAAAAGATAAGACATGGAAATCCATATTATTTTGGTTATAAAGCCTTAAACTTGGATTGCGTTTTTTTGATAGTCTTAATTGCATTCGACGCCACCAAAATTCGACGAATAAAACAGGCCTTATATCCCTTCTTATCAGTTTAAATATAAGGTAGGATTATAAATTAGCACGATTCCCGGATTCCCATTCCCTGTTTTAGGGATAGCCGCTGCGAGGATTATGACACACTTTGACATTAGAATTGGGTGAGATTTTCACAACATTACAATCGGTTTCAAGTATTTATTGGTATATTGTTACGATTAATACAGGTTCTTTCGATAATATAAAGCGTGGAATAACAACAACATGGCGTCCATGAAAAGGGGCGCGAAAACAGTCAATACTTCATGTTATCAATGTATAATGTTTGTCTACTTATTTACGACATCCTCCGGGGGCACGCGAAGTTCTCGGGTCCATCTCCTGATTTGTTCAACTGCTTTACACGCGGCTGTCCGTTTCGGTCGTGGAGTAATTTCGGTTGCTGCATTTTCTTGTTGGACACAATCCTTGTCTACGAGGCCTGGTTCTTCTGTTTTAGCTGCTACTTCTAGAGGATAAAGTTTCGTTATGGGTCTATTAGTCTTTCCGGATGCTGTTCGAATGTTAGCAGCTCGCACATGTCCATCCCGTCCTCAAATTAAACTTTCGATCACTGCTAATCTCCATGTTAGTCGAGATTTATCATCATGGACTTGTACAACGTCTCCTACTTTGATAGTTTCCTTTTCTGTACCAGTATTCTTATGGAATTCTCGCAAGGATGTGAGATACTCTTGTCTCCAACGTTGCTCAAAGTGTTGTAGGAGTAGTACTAGTCTCTTGGCGTTCCTTTGGATTTCTACATTTTCGTTGAAGTTCGGATCAATCAACTCATCTTCCTCTAGGGACTCATTTGGTAGGACTGTTATTCTTCTGCCATATAAGAGGTGCGATGGTGTAAGTGGTTGTTGGTCCTTTACGTCTGACGACACGTATGTCAATGGTCTATCGTTTAAAATGGCTTCGATTTCCACCACGATTGTTTGTAGCATTACTAAGTTCACTGACGCTCTTCCAAGTACTTTCTTTAAAGCTGTTTTCGTCAGTCCTATCAATCTCTCCCAAAAGCCACCGAACCACGGTGCTCTCTTTGGAATGAATTGCCATTGTACATTCTGTCTAATGAGTGTTTCTTTCAGTATGGGTGATTCAAACAATTTCTTCAGTTCTTCCGCTGCCGACAAGTATGTAGAAGCATTGTCTGACATCATTAATTTGGGTAGTGATTTCCGAGCAACAAATCTACGGAATGCAAGGATAAACGTTGGTACAGACATGTCCGACACAATTTCGAGATGTACAGCTCTTGTGGTGGCGCACGTAAAGAGACAAATGTATGCTTTATTTTCTGTTCCCGATTCTTTTACGTACAATGCTCCAGTGAAATCAACACCTGTGATTTCAAATGGTCGTGTTTGTTGAAGTCTTGCTTTCGGCAATGGTGGTGGATCTGGAGGATTATACGAGCTTCCGCATATCTTCCTGCAGGTGACACATTTATTGATGATCTTCTTCACGAGTTGTCGTCCGGAAGGAATCCAATATCGTTGACGTAGCGCTGTTAGTGTCGCGTTCACACCCGAGTGTAATTGGCGAACATGAGTTTCGACGATTATGAGCTTCGTGAAGTCATTTCTCGGTGGTAGAAGTATTGGGAATTTCGTTGATTCTGCGAGGGGCGCGTTGTGTATTCTCCCACCAGAGCGAAGAAGACCAAACTTGTCCTTGAATAGACGAAGTTGGCGTACTAAAGGTAATCGTTGTGCCTTTTTCGCTGCGAGATTATTGATTTCGTTATGGTATGTCAATTGTTGTGCGGAAGGAATCCCAGAACGTTTGCCAATTCAAGGGGTTGCCGTCAAAGGTTGGTAGTGCTAACTTTGGGAGTCGACTCATGCTGTAACTACTGTTCGAAATGGTGGGGTTTGTACTTGTAACTGACGTACTTGTAGTGGGTTGCTGGTTTAAATTGACAGGTAAATTTTCACTTACTGTGCTTGATTGTGGTTGTGTCTCTTCTGGTGTTGATGGTTGATTTCCTGCTGGTTCACTCTCACTGCTTGTTGCCTGGTTGCTTTCTGGCGTTTGTTGAATATTGTTACTCGCTCCTGCTGCTTGGTCGCGCTGACTTATGTTCATGGACTTGGTTTTGTTCTCAATAAAATTTTTAGTTGTACAAATTGTCTCTGCGATAAAACTCTGTGTGTCTTCTGCCTCGATAATATCTGCTTCCAAATCTTCAGGTTTTGTGAATAGTTCAAATATCTTATTGTCTAGTTCTGATAGTACCTGTCCTTTCCGTTGGAGTTGCTCTAAATAACTGCCAAGTGTCACAATAGCATGCTGTTCATTTTGATCGTCTTCTACTTCTTTTAGTTCCGTAATTTTCTTCAAAACTTTCGTTAAATGTGCTCTGTGTGCTCTCCGTGATGCTATTAGACGTTGTTGTTCTTTCATCCTGGTCACGGCACCATAATTTCAAGTATTTATTGGTATATTGTTACGATTAATACAGGTTCTTTCGATAATATAAAGCGTGGAATAACAACAACATGGCGTCCATGAAAAAGGTGCGAAAACAGTCAATACTTCATGTTATCAATGTATAATGTTTGTCTAATTATTTACGACAAAAGATTTTATTATTTATTCTAGTAGATGTGTCATAATACTCAGTAGCTGCAATAGATTGGATACCTGATAGGCCTACGTTGCACTTTTGAGAAAAAATAATTTACCGCCAGCATACTAACACGAATATTTAATTCGCTGTCTGAAAGACGTTTTTAAAAATACACAATATTTTGTTTGCTTCAAGTGATCAGCATAATTTTTAGTTTAGGTTTATGCCTAGGCAGGAAATAATAAAACATGTAAGTTTCAAGAAGTTAGAATAAAAGCGCGAGATGAACTGTGAGATATAAAAAAGCTCAAATATCACTTGCGTAATTAACGTTTTAACTTGTTTTCGAACGCGTCCGAAAATAATTGCGAAAAATTTTTTAAAACTGACTACAATTTCAAAGTCAACGTTTTTTGTTCATTTTATGAATGACTTCTTCCACACAGAAAGTTTGAAGGAAATCTGTAATCTTAAGAAATTCGAGTGGTCGGTTTTTACACGGACTGCCTCTTAAAGCCGATTTCCATTCAGTGCAAAATGTTGTGTGATTGACTTTTTGCGATCACTTTCTTTTGAAATGTGTGTGGTCAACTCATCCGCGTTCAGTTGCGTTTTATTGCGTGTATTTCAAAAATCAATCGTGCGACATTTAGCACTGATAGGAAATTCCCGGTGACCGGGGAATTAATCAAGGTTCACACACAAAGAGAGTGAATTCCCCCGGTGTCCCCGAGGGGGGGGGGGGGTTTCAAATGACTGGTGCATTATATCTTTTAATGATAATAAATGATAATAATATTTTATTGAGGGAATTCATTCATCCCAAGATGCTTTTCAATGAAGCCCTCACCACAAATACAATATTATACATATATGAATATCTGTAAGAAAACTATCCTAAGTTATAATACTATTAAAAAAAGTTAAAAATATGCTAAACTTAAATGGTAAAATGTTAAGAGAGACGTTTTCTTTTAAAAATATTAAAATTAGCTATATTCTTAATGTCATTATCTAAGTCATTCCAATCCTTCGCTGCCTGATATATAAAGCGTTGTTTTCCCCATTCTGTTTTAACTTTTGGAAGATAAAGGTTGGCACTCCGACGAGTGGAGTAACTATGGCGGTTGCAGTTCTGAATCAGTATTAATTCTGTGTCCATAGTGCCATGAAGGCACTTATGAATTGCAATGCAACGATGTTGTTGACGTCTTGTATTTAGTTCTACCCAATTTAATTTCTGAAGGGCATCAGTAGCCGAGTGTGTGCGTGGTAATCCCAGTATGACCTTTGCGGCCTTGTTTTGCAAAATTTGTAAATCATCCATCAGAACTTTGTTGTTTTTATCCCCCCCAAACCGAATCCGCATAGTCAAACAGGGGTAATATGATTGAGTTATACACGGTAATGAGTTCCTCCTTAGAAAGAATAAGCTGTAAACGCTTTAGTATGCCAATACGTTGATTTATCTTTGCACTCAAAATACACAACTGCACTGATCTCAAATTAGTTCGCAAGCATCACTGGAATTTTAATCAATTTAATTTTTACATCTGATAAAAAATAAACACATTATTTACCGGCAGCGTCGGTCCGGATGAGAAAAACTGTGCCCGAGGTCTTGAAAAAGGCCCGAGCCCGAAGGGCGAGGGACGTTTTCAAGACCGAGGGCACAGTTTTTCTCATCCGGACCTCGCAGCCGGTAAATAACATATATATCTTTCAAGAGTGTTTGATAGTAATGTTGATTTCATGATTTTAAGGGTAATACTATATAGTTGCTTGGTAGATGATAGTTTAAACTGTAGAATGTTAGGGTTTGTAATCCAAGTGAGTATATATACATTTTAAGACCTGATCAGGAACGACTGCGAAAAATGCAGCACAAGGTCCTCTGGTAGGAATTGAACCTACGGCCCTGCGATTCCGGTGCAGCGCTCTAACCAACTGAGCTACAGAGGCCAGCTGTTGAGCTGTAACCGTAAGTTCATGTATATATAGGTAATCGGGTGTGCGGGTTGTGATTAGGTGGACTTCAATGATTTGTTTCTTGCACTTCACTTAGTGAAATTAGTATTAGAATGTTAGGGTTTGTAATCCAAGTGATTATATACATTTTAAGACCTGACCAGGAACGACTGCGAAAAATGCAGCACAAGGTCCTCTGGTAGGAATTGAACCTATGGCCCTGCGATTCTGGTGCAGCGCTCTAACCAACTGAGCTTCAGAGGCCGGCTGTTGAGCTGTAATCGTAAGTTCATGTATATATAGGTAATCAGGTAATCGTGTGTGCGGGTTGTGATAAAGTGGACTTCAATGATTTGTTTCTTGCACTTCACTTAGTGGAATTAATATTAGAATGTTAGGGAATCATTCCAAGTGAGTATATATGCATTTTAAGACCTGACCAGGAATGACTGCGAAAAATGCAGCACAATGTCCTCTGATCTGGTAGGAATTGAACCTACGGCCTTAATTGCGATTCCGGTGCAGCGCTCTAAACAACTGAGCTACAGAGGCCAGCTGTTGAGCTGTAACCGTAAGACAGAAGGAGTGACCCTGGGAACGAGATTGGGTGTCCTCCAGATTTGCCGCTCAGGCATGTGGGGGGGGGGGGGCTAGATTCCATTTCTCAGCCCACAATTTCTGTAAATCCCATTCCCCAGCCCTTGTTTTAGATCAAACAAAATGAGACTAATTGCCTGTCAGTTGAAGTTTAAATGTTTGATTGGAATTCTGTGACTTGTTATGCAGGAACAAGGCGATCACATGAGATTGGATAACAAGTGCCCAACATTCAAAAATTGCCAAACATTGGTTTGTGGGAAGGGTTATGTATAATAACATGAGGTAGGTTGTGATCCCCATAAGTTTCTGCATAAGTTTCGTTTAAATTTTGAATTCTATTTCCTTGTTATGCTGTACGTCACAAGGAAATCACATGTATGGGATTTTACAGCCCAACAGTGCCTTTTTTAACTATATATCTGGGGGGCAATTGCCCCCCCCAGGGAAAGAACTCCCTCCCCCCCCCCAGTAAAGCCATTTCTGCCCCCGAAGTGCGAAGCAGAATTGCTCATGATTGCTGTCAGAATTGCAGTTGATTTACTTGATAATGAGATTATGCCCTTCCATAGCCTCCTCCACAGCTATCTTGTGTGTAATTCATATTGTTCTTCACCGAGTATTTCATAATAGCGATAGATTTCATGCAAACAATCCGATAAAATGCTAGCCTTTCCAAGCCTTGCGACTATTTCCTAGCACTCTCCTCTGCAGAGGCGTTGTGTTTTGTTTTGGGAGTTTTATTGCAAAATTTTTTTCTTAAAAATATCAAGTTATATAAAGAGCCCCCCCCCCCCCAATCGCCACAAAAACCATTCTCTCAGAAAGGCTAAATCCGTAGAGAAATGGTTTTTTTGGGGGGGGGGGAGGGTACACGTTACATGCTCGAAGCTGAAACTGATTAAGTACGTTTCGACTGAGGAAAAAGATGATATACTGGAGGAACTTGATTGTGAAATCTCGTTAAAGCAATTGTAGATATGGTTCCAAGAAGAATAGATTTAGTTTAGATTTTTAACTGTTAAATCCATGTATGCATCATCAGAGCATGAATATTTCTTCTCAGACTTATTCTGTATCGTATGAAAAAGCAACGCAATTTTGAGAATGCGGAAATGGTGTCTCATAGAACCTAAAATGATTTAAATGCAACATTTCTGATCAAAATCACATTGGGATCCCCCCTCCCAGCATCACAGAGAGAAAATAAGGTGACACTGACCCCTCCTCCTATTTTTCAAGGTGACTTTTCCAATTTATTTAATTCCGAGTAGAAATGTCTGAAAAAATTCATGTCTTCGTTGTACTTTATAATCTTCGGAATTCTGCTAGATTTCACCCCCAAAATGCATGAAATCGCAATTCAGGGACCCTAGATTTCAAAATTTTTCGAACCCCGGGACCCTCCTAGACGGTCTCACGCCTTTGGCGTGAGGTTCGCCCCCCACCCCACCCACAAAATTAAGGTTTCGCTACGCCACTGGTTATAGCTGTACGGTTATAGCTACAAAGGGTTGAAGTTATTGTTTAAAGTAAAATATACAGTGAAGTTAATAAATTAAAGTTTTGCAAAATCTCTCTTCAGACTTGTGCGTTCGCCAAACCTCGACGGCTCATATTTTTCGCTCTGACTTTTTTCCCTGTTTGCACCACAGTGAAAATTCCTTAAAAAAGGTACTGCAGCCCAATGTTTGGGAGGGAAAACAGATAGACGTGTATAAACAACAATATAAATGATGATAACATAAACTACACAAGCCTTAAAACAGGTAATAGGTCATATAATGTACTATGAAATTTAGTTCACTGTTTTTAGAACTACTTCAGCAATACTCGCATCATTCGCCACTGGTTTGTTATAATATAGAATGTTTGAAAAGTTGCACAATCAGACCATCTGCATTACTGAGTATTTCATCTATCGAAAACATAGGCGTACGGGGAGGGGGCCACGGGGGGCAAGTGCCCCCAGTCAAAATGGAGTCGGGCATATTATAAAACGCAAGTCGTGCAAAAATTGGGGAAAACTTTAAAAAGAAGACACATGCATGCACTATAGTAGTTGAAATCACAAAAATTATGTAAAAGTAACTTGGTATTTTAATGGATTGGGAAAAATTTCCGTCGACTCGCCTTCCCCCTTTCAGTTAAGTCGAGTACAATGGGGAAAAGTCAGGTAAATTTTCTTCTGCCCCCCCCCCAATTTTCCCTCCCGTATGCCCATGATCGAAACCCTCACTGCGTTAGCTGCAGAAGTAGATGCAGCCCTGGTGCGTCTGGTTTGAACACAGTGGTGTCGATTTCTGCTTTTTCCATAACGTACGGTTTTAATCCATAGGGCCAATGAACAATTTTGTTTCAGGTCCTCTGCATGATTTTGTGGCTTATCTAAGTATGAGCAGAGGGTGTCGATAACACATTATATTCATAAAAATAGTCCAACACATCAGTTAGAGAGGGAGAATTGAAATTTAATTCATTTGCCTTTCACCACAGAAAAGTGCCCATTTTGTTGAGGTAGGTTTGGTACTGCTGGACAGTTCCGCTTCGCCATGATTTAACGATGATGTATGTGTGCAGCTTCCCTTGAAATGCCTTAACTTTGGAGCGATTTCCAGATAAGTGACATACCAGTAATCTGAGTTTCTAATGTAGTGGCCGTGCATCTTGTCCAGATTATGATGTGAGTAAAGTAGACGTTACATTTTAGGCAAAATCCGTGGATGGTTGACCAAAATTTGCATTGTTACCGTACCACGTTTGTTTGGGTCACAGGGGTATTACCAGTATCCCCTCTGCTGACTCCTCCTGGATCTTTTGTAATATTTTTGTTAACAAGCTAAATGGAGGGAAAGCATCAAAGCTTTTAGTAGTCTGACTGCCAAGCGACATATTGCTCTAGCTTCTTGTTTAGGTGGGGTGCAAACAAGTCCACCCGATCCCGAGGCTTAAATATTTGGACACAGATCCTATCATAAACTTGATTGATAAAAGCCCATTCTGTATGATCATCAAAGTGCCTAGATTATTTATCTCCTACATTAGTGACACCTGGGATGGGTTGTCGATACCCAGATGTTTCTCTGAAAGCACCAAATCCACATTCGTCTTACTATTGCATTGCATTCTGAGGACTGGTTTCCACCCATATTATTTGCATAAGCTACGGCCGTGGTATTGGCAAGCTTTAGTCGAACATGTTAATATTAACTGTCCGAGAACAAATGACTGCAATGCTAAAAATGCTGCAGTTGTTTCTATTACATCAATGTGCGCTTTAGCTTCGGTCTCCCCATCATGGGCCTCCTGTATACTTCCTATCACTATACGCAACCAGAACAGGTTTGGGGGATGTCTCATTATTGGATATCCACCACTGTAAATCAGCAAAAGCATCTTGCGAGAGGGTCATGTTTGCTGCATAATTTCCTTTACGCAGTTTAGAGCTTGGGTTTTACCCCTTCTGAAGTCCGATAGAATAGCTGTGCACTGCAGGTCACAGATGGAAACCTATAGCCACCATAAGGCCAATGACATCTGCAACCTCCTGAATTAAAGATCTTCTCTTTGCTAACAAATTTATGCAAGCAGTTTTTAGCTTTGTGGCTCTTTCAGAGGTTAAAGAGACGTGCATGCAGTCATGTCCTTAGAATTATAAGCAAAAACCCCAATAAAACAGCCGACTTAGTCTGATGTGGAATAAACGCCAATGAATCAAACATTGTGTCATGGATATTTCTCTTACAACCATCAAAGTTGTCATCCTGCAAGTACGAGTCATCAATATATCCAAAGGAAATGTGCTCCTTATTCCGTAGTGATGCATAAGACTGGTTTCATAATTTTTGTAAAAATACGTGGGGCTGAGGCCAGACCATTTGGCAGGCATGCATATTGATAAAATTGCCCTCGTCCAAGAAAACTTAAGGTACTTTCTGTGCTTATAGCATACGGGTGCAGTATAGTATACCTCTTATATATACCTCCGTCCTGTTTCATCAAATGTATTGCAGTATAAATAGTATCCTTCTTAAAATGATGATAGTCAACAACTTCATTTAACTTTTTCAAATTCAAAACTCTATAGGTCCCATCTTTTTTCGGGCGAAGAAAAATTGTTGATCCTCCCCCCGCGATTCTGGGTTAGTGGGCTCAATTACCACTTTCATGAATAACTTCGCGATTTCATTATCAACAATGCATCCCTCGGAACTATTGACATGCAATTAGCTCTTTAGGTGACTGCAATTGCAATGGAATGGTTTCATTAGAAACTCAATTTCCACTCCTTGTATTGCTTTTAATATCCATTGGTCTGAAGTAATTTTTGACCAAGCAGTCTGAAAACATTTTAGCCTGCACCAAATGAATATATAGTGTACTAACCTGTTTATCTAGTTTCACCGACCCTGTGGTTTGTAGTAGCTTTGGCCCCTAATTTAGTGCCGTGGGAGGTTGTTTTGGGGCCGGAACCTCCCCCGTCCATTTTTTAATGCCGGTTATAATGAGGGTACAGAATTTTCTGTACCCTCACTGAACGCCGAATAGGTACGCAGTATGTACTGAATGTTTTCTGAACATTTTTTTTAATGTCCGCTGGAAAATGTTTTCAACCTTTCGGGACAAAATAGGGGCCACGAAGTAAAAATTTTCCCCGGGCACCCGAATTTCTCTGTGAGGCCCTGCCCATGCAGTAATCCAAATTCCATTTTCGTAGTCCAAAAATAGGCAAATTCCTGTTCCTATTTACTCCTTCAGCTCAGGACCCTCTTCTCCAAGTTTTCAAAAGATTACTTACCGAAGTCGCAATATTACGAATCAATTTATAAATAGCACGTTCCAAGCATTTATTATAAACCTCCAAACACACGTTGTATATAATGAACCAGGAAGTGTTCCTTTAATTTTCTGAATTCAGTTTTATATGTACAATATATTTATTTTTCAGTACTGGAACGGCATAATCAGTGCGAAGTCAAAGAGCAACGCTAAAAAAGAATGCCATTTGTTTGTGGAAAACGATTTTAATCGTATGACTTTGGATGCGTTAGGCGAATGTGTATTTGGTTATGAGTTTAACACCACCGAAGCAGGTGATACCATAATATCCCGTGCATTCACTGATTTATTCACTGGTGTAAATCCAGCTGCAAAGTCATTTTCAATAAAACTACTCCTGTGGTTCCCATTCCTTAAATACTTCATGAAAAGTGTTATCAAAGGCGAAGAAGCGCTTAAAACCATTGCGTGCGTTATCAAACAGGTAAGAGTAGCTAGTATATTCAGGTAAACATCCCTTTTTGTTTTGAAATTAATAATTCTGTTGTTCAAACTGACGTAGGACGGGTAGCATAATGAAATCGTAAGAGCCAGCATAACAAATCTTGCTTCGTGCTATATAGTAAAAGTTGTGTAACATTTAATAGACAACGTCTTGCATGTTAGACTAATTTTTGATCTAGGAAAAAAAGTAAATTCACGTAAATTAAAAGTAAATTCCCGTAAACTTATTAAGTAAAAAACAAATTCCGAAAAGACAAGACATCTTGAGAATTCAGTATATGATTCAAAACAAGACGCAGTGTAAATTTTCGACTTTATTTCAAAGTCATCTTCAGACAGAATGAAATACAATACTTTGCAACACAGATATATATATTTCCGCATGTAATACAAACTATATATATATATATATATAACTATATATATATATATATATATATATATATATATATATATATATATATATATATATATATATATATATATATATATATATATATATATATATATATATATATATATATATATATATATATATATATATATATATATATATATATATATATATATATATATATATACTGCTAATTCAATAAAGGTTGTCCTTTGCAAACCTTAAACCTTAAAACCTTAAACCTTAAACTCTAAGCGCGCAAAGCATGATGGGAGCACTGATTTCAAGCTTAATTGTTGATTATTGAAGCTGTTTGTCAGTGAAATGTTTTTGCAGGGAGATTTTTATCATGTCTCCAAAAAATGGGCTCCATATATGCTTTCTAAACTGCTTAAATTTTGCTCCCATTATGCTTTGCACGCTTAGAGTTTAAGGTTTAAGGTTTTAGAGTTTAAGGTTTCAAAGGACAACCTTTATTGAATTAGCTGTATATATATATATATATATATATATATATATATATATATATATATATATATATATATATATATATATATATATATATATATATATATATATATATATATATATATATATATATATATATATATATATATATATATATATATATATGTACAACGCAGAGAGAGAGCATCTGTCATGTGGGCGACAAGAAGGGCATCTGTCATGTGGGCGAAACATGATAAAGAAATTATAGTAAAAAACTGAAAATGGATTATTTAGCTATATTTCCAACAATGTTTCACATATTAAAAGGATTAAAGTAGAAAGTAAACTTATTAAAATTAGTAAAATTGCAAAATTTGGTTACGAAATGTTGTAAAATGCAGAAATACAGCCTTGCGAAGTTTGTATTACATGCGGAAATTGTTACCATTTTTGAGCCGAAAATTATAACAATTTCCGCACGTAATACAACTTTTAGGGACCAGTCATAAAGTATTTACTAGGGGGTGTGGAGGATATTTTTGGGGGTACGAAAAAAAGAGAACCTCTGAGGGGTGGGGGGGGGTACGAAAAAACAACAGAACCTCTAGGGGGGGGGGGCAAAATCTTAGTACTATAGGTACGGAAAAAATAACATTTTATAACTATTGTTGAATATTGAATGTTTTGTGCCCAGATTTAAGTTTGGAAAGAATTGCTTTACTTATAATTATTAAATCAACACAAGGTATATGTTTTTATGTGACTCAATGTCAGATGATAAGTAAGATTCAGTATCCGTTGAACTTTTGGAGTACAAAGCTGATACAGCTGAATTGTCAATGCTAGCAAGCTCACACCGGCATTAGAACTTGATGAACCTGATGAGGAAGTGTCACATTGAATGGAAGCAATTTTTTTCTATTCGAAATAAACCAAAAACAAATTTTTCTGTTTCATCATACTCTCAGCCCATCGTTAGTATGTCAGAATCTGAAAAGACTGGTGACGAATCAGAGTCTGTGGAAAATGTTGAGGATATGGTTACCACTACAAGAAGTGGGAGAGTTATCGCAAACTGGAGGGTTTCGAAATATAGATAAACGCAAGACAAATGTTAAAACAGAGGGGGGGGGTATGAAAATTTTCATTTACATTGAAGGGGGTTACGAAAATGTTTCCACAGGTTTTTGGGAGGGTATGGAAATATGTACTTGAAATTTCATTTATCCTCCACCCCCCTCTAGTAATTACTTTATGACCGGTCCCTTATCTTCGAGTGGTGAAAATAAAAGTCATATCTTCAAGCCACCGTGTAATGTTCTGTTTATTATATTGTCCCAAGCAATTAAAAAATTGTATATTAATACTAAAAGTCACGTGATCGATATCTTTACTAGTGAAGATATGGAAAATATCTCACTGTATATTTCAGTATCTCACTTTCTATTATATAATAAAAACATATACAAAATTTGCAAACTTTGTAAGACTATCGCCCGTCATCGGAAATAGAAATTTCCGGACATCGGAAATAGAAATCTGCAAATTCCATGGTTTTATTTTATATAAGGGAAGTCTTGTCTATAAACTGTTGATTTTCATTCCTCCTTTTCCGGACAGCTTGCCCTTGTACTGATCACGTGTTTTCCGACGGTGATTCCACCGCTTAGTATTCCAATGAGTGGGATGTACGGTGTTACGTAACTGACGAGGTTTTTATGTCTTTTCTAAGCAGATCGTTTTCCTCCAGTTCTTTTTTCATTCCTTCAACATCCTTAACAGCGTCCAACGCCTCCATGAGTTCGGAAAACTTGGTGATGATAACGTCGGCTAGTTGGTTGTTTGTGTTTTCCAGACGTTGTCTTTCGTAGTCTTTGTATATGTTTTCCAGCGTCTTTTCGGAGATGCTTTTTTGATATATTTTGAGGCGTACTTGATTTCACCCGCATCGACCAGTTTCAGTAGCTTTTCCCTTAGATCGCTTGCGACAGGTGTCTCAGGCTCTACAGATTCGAATATGGTTTCCATTCCTTTATTTAATATGCGGAATAATTGTTTTGTGGGTATAAGGTCGACGTAGTAGTATTTCCAACCTGGCGTAGTCGTTGTTTTTTAGCGTATTAATGATTTCCTTCCTTTCTTCTTTTTCCGTGTTTGCAAGGTAGTCAGTCGTTCAATATAATGTCCGTATCTTTTGCGCTCGGGTTGTAAAAGGTTACGAGTTTGGATATATTTTCCCTATAGGGTTTCGCAATGGATGTAAGCTGTTGGGTAATGACAATGGTTGATATTCCCATATGTCTAGCCCTAAACCCAAGTTTTACCAATTCGCTGGTCCTGTTTTTGACGGATTGGCTACTAGCACAGTGATCAAGAACGATTAGGCTATTTGTTTGAATGCTGTTCTTAGGGTTTGTAATCCAAGTGAGTATATATATACATTTTAAGACAAAAAGGAAAAAAATAGGGGGGCGGATAGAAAATTGCCCGACTTTTCGTGATTGTGCCCGACTATTACCGAAAAATTTTTTCCGGAAAAATGATTTTGGCGACCCTTCGACCGCCCCCCCCCGTCGCCAAAAAAAATTCGGTCAGTGTACCATTTTAGGGGTCAAAAAAATTTTCCGGACATACCAAAATTTTTCGTAACACACAAATTTTCCAAAAAACTCTACATTGGCCACAAAATTGACTACATTTTCGACAAAATTGACAGAATTTGTCCCACTCATTTTTATAACTAACCAAAATTGCCCGACTGTTAATCGAATATTGCCCGACTGCCCAAAAAACTGGGGGTGCTACCGCCAGAAATATATACTCGAAGTGGTTTTTATAATCGTTCTCCAGCATTTCTGGTAGGTAATGGTTTTCCCACATCCGGTCATGATCATGTTGAATGGTGTTTCCAATGGATCCATCTTTTATTATTTAGTAACTAATACCCTGGAGGGTCTTTTCGCTGATGTTTATGAGTCCATCGGATAGCACAAAGATGTTACAGAGGATGTCTTCGGTAATAGTGTCTGTTTCAATTTCCAGGAGAATTCCAGGGTTATCACCGAGAAGCTTTTTTCCACTTCCAACGATATGGTTGTCGTCGACAGCTCTCAGATCGATCACCAATGCGAATTTGTCTTTGTAGAATTTCGTAACGCTTATGTCGTCATTACAGGTGTTGTTGGCTATTCCGAACAGTCTTTTTGCTTCGTCATAGAAGTTTTCGTATGTTAGTCCCTGACTATATACAGCATTCGGTTTCCCCTCTATCGTAACCTTTACCTTTTCGATGCTTGGGAAGACGTATTCCTCGCTGGCGGTTATTGTTCTTTTTCTGAAAAGTATAGGACCACAGCCCTCATGCTTACCCTCGGAACATCTATGGTTTCGTTAAACCTTGTAGCATCCTTTGACCACACGGTTGTTTTTAACACGGTTGTTTTTAACGGGATAGGGATCTGCCGGCCTCGTATCCTTCGTTTACCCGTTTAGCTAGTTCCTCGTTTTCGATGGTTTCGTATTCCAGATGTATGTTTTTTAGTGTATATCCCTCCACCTTCTCGTTTGCCTGTGCAACCATAATCTTGTCGGCTTTTGGAAGGGTTATCGTGTACTCGAATCCACTTTTCATGGTCATGTTCACCGTGGTCATTGAAAATTTTTCCGAGTTTCATTTTTTGTTCCTTGTATACCTTTGCCATCACCAGGTCGTAGTTACCATCCGTCTTTTCGGTTTGATCGGCACTGTCGTCCTTCGACAATAGCTTTCTTGTGTTCTCGTTCATAATCCCGTATTCTATCATGTTTGCTCTTTTTGAATCCATCTTCCAGAGATCTTTGTAGACTTTGATGAGACTTTCGCCGTTATTGTCGTATACTATCTCACCTCCCACCCTTATCATGAGTCGTTCGCACAGAAGTTTACCGAGGTTATTCATGAACCAGGATTTGGTGTTTTCGTTCTTGAACTCATACGACAGGCGAAATGAATCTGGAACGATACAGGTGTTCGGTTCCAGTTTCTGAACTACTATGCAGATGTCGTTTCCGGGGTTGGATTCGTTTGGGTTAAATGTAATGAAGTTATATACTCTGTTCCCTACAACATCGGAGGTCAGTGCCCTTTTGAAACCGGGTGTAAGTTCTTGGCTTCTCTTCTCCATTCCCTTTATTATAGTATAATAACTAATTATTAAATTTTTCGAACTTTGGTTTCGGCTCGTCCTGCATCTGCGGTTCTGCTGTATGATTAGGCTTGTCCGTAGGTCTGACATTACAGTATATGTAGTAGATTCCTCCTAACACAGCTGCTGCGACTCCAGCGTAAATCAGCGTATTTACCGAATCACTTTGATCGGAATTATTTTCGATGTTACGTCTTTCTACAGCTTTCCTTGCTTTTGCTTCTTTAGATATTGCGGCTAGTCTCTTACCTGATTCTACCCTTCTTGGATCCTTCGGTTTCTGGGTTTTCTCCGTTCTTGTTATTGTTGGCTCATCCATGCTCTATTTAATATACCTACTTTTTTTAAATTTCTAGTTGAATCTAGTCAAAGTCTAGTCAGAGTCTAGTCAAAGTCTAGTCAGAGTCTAGTCAAAGTCTAGTCAAAGTCTAGTTAAATCCAGTCAAATTCTAGTCAAAGTCTAGTCAAATGTTGCTTGAGTTAGTTGCAGCATAACCTTAAGTAGTTTCAAGATCAGCTTAAGGTAATCTCGAAACCTACTTAAAGAAATATTTTTTATATAATAAAAGATATGAGATCTATTTTACGACTGAAGTTCTCTCGGACATCTGGAAGAGGCGTGCCGTTCGCTGTCCATCTGCCCTTGAGGGAGAGTCTTCTTCCCCTATCTGCCGTGTTTAAATGGGCACAGGGTTTACCACCGGGTAGTAGAAGTACGTTTTTGGAAAATATTAGAAAAATCGATGAGAAGGCTTACAAGCGTAGGGAGCGGAAGTTGATCATAGATACTTTTAAACAGTTGGAAAGTCATCCGGACTATAGGGAAACGGATTACGAGAAAAGGGAGCGTCTGAGGAAGGAAGCGATCGAGCAGGAACACAAAAGGAAGATGAAATTCTGTGAATCCGGAGATAAACACCAGCTTATTGATATAAACGGGGAAAGAACGTGTCACAAATGTGGATTAGCTACGGGACACACACCCCCTGTCCCAAACTACAATTGTTGGGACGACGCAATCATGAAGTACAGAAAGGTTCGAACTGTTCAGCGATAGGTTCGAACTGTTCTGTATTAGAAGGAGTATAACATATTCTGATCTACCACAGTATGAGAGGCATGCGGTAGTAGGAAACATCCAAATAATTTGTAGGGCCGAGTTGGATTTAGAGGAGGATAGGGAGGAGGAGGATAGTGAGGAGGAGGATAGGGAGGAAAAGCTGAAAAGGAGGACGCTTCCTAACCTCAGCATTTTAACCTATCAGATATGCAAAAGACTTAACATAAATATCGACGAGAATCTGCTTAAGATTCCGAAAAGCAGAGTTCCACAGATCGATGTAGAGAAATATTCCAGAAGTTGGGTTAGGAATACACCGAGTTCGGTTGTCAGAACAAGATAACCACGTGGTCTCAGGTCCCATTTGTGGTCTCAGGTTTTGCGTGTAAACATCCCATTTTATTTACTCTTCTTTTTATTTTCTTCCTTCGTGGTCTTTGCTGACGGTACCGCTTTGTCTTCCTTTGCGGTCTTTGCCGACGGTCCCGCTTTTTCCTTACACGACGTAACGTACTTGATGTTGGTTGTCTTGGATTTAACGTAACCGAGATTCAGTCCACCTCTACTGAGTTTTATACCAACGTTGACGGTTTTGTCCTTTTTTAATTTTCCCCTAACTTTGCTGCTGTCGCTATTCATTCTTTTATTAATACGAAAATAATATCCATCTTGAAGTGATAACCCCACCGATGAACATAGTGCCGAGGAGGTAAACCAGATTGTTTGTTGGTCTTGGTATGCTTGCTGTGTTAGGATGTGGTATGGGGTTCTGGTCTTTGCGTGGTATAGGGTTTTGGACTTTTACATCCGGACTCTTTTTTATCTCCTTAGGTTTTGAGTAGTTAACATCCGTATTACTACCAAACTTCATGTCATTTGTCGCTAGTGTTAGTGTGTTGTTGTATCCCGCTACTTTTTCCTTAAGTATGATCATACTGGATGGTATTAATCAGTCCGGGTTATATTGCCATGTTAAGTACAACGTTAGTATCCTTTATTGCCCTCCTCATATTGGAGATGGATACCGATACATCGTCTTGCGCAACGGTGTCTTTGAAAAGTCTGTGAAATATGTCCTGAATCTTCGCCCCTTTACCAACGATAGACCAACGTGTTTGTGCTTGCGCACCTAATACGCAGTAGACGTAACTTTCAATAGATTGCTGAAGTAGCTTTAATCCCAGACGTGTCAATCCGTCCGATTACTTAGCTATGAATTGGGTGTAGTCCGTATCGCTGTTGTTAATGACCTTGTCTACTTCCTGATAGCTAATTCCCATTACACCACCGGTATGGTAGTATGAATATCTGTAGTTTCTAACCCTACTTTTATCCGGAAGTCTGCTATGCCAGAGACCTATTTCTGTCTGTCCTCGGTGGAATTTGTCAACCCATGTTTTCTGTATGGGTATGTTTCTCTGCAGGGACTTTAGCATATCCTTTGTTACGTATTTCGTCATTTTGCTTGGATTTCTGAGGAACCTAGGCATGTGGTAGTATAGGTGATACCTAACAATACTTGTGATTACCCTCGAGGTTCCTTTGCTTTCCAGCAGATGTTCCGTACTTATCCCACACTTAAACGTAATAATGTAAGCAGCCAGTATCGATGCAAAATAGGGATCGTTTATATAATCGAACTTTACCCTGGTGATATCCTTTGTGGTACCGGTCCACTTCGTGTCGAGATCGGCGAAATTAGAGACAAAGCTGTTGTGAGAGGTATTTTAATACCTTTTAATACCTAGAGGTATTTTAATACCCTATTTTAATACCTTTTTAAAAAAAACTGGCGGCAATCTTGAGAACCTACCTCTAGTTCATCCCCTTTAGCCAACGTTGCCCCAAACCATTGTTGTAGTGGTTTAAAAAACAAGGTGGTCAACTTCAAACGCACTGACAATTTTGAATCATTCAAATGACGCTAACGATTTTTTTCGATCATATATGCTCCACCCAGGCCTGTGTTCCACCCAAATATGTCGGTTTGTAGCATCCTCGTTTCCAGGTCCTATCGGCTGCGGGCAGCCTGCATAGGCCCTGGGACACACGGAACCGGACGTGCAAGAAAACTTGCAGTAATTTCTAAAGGTCGTACTCTTGAATTGGGACGTTTTAGCACCCGTAACAATTTTCACAGAGAAGCACTGTATTACGAAGAAACGAAGCATTTGTGTTGACATATTTTGATAATAATTTTGCCTAGCGAAAACTGATCGTCTTCCGAGAAGCCAATCAGATCTCTCCCTTTTGTCATATAACCCAGAGCCTAATTTTCAACGAGTGACCAAGCGAAAATGGCTCTTGGGACGAGAATTGGTGAAAAATTCACTCATTTCCATGCACAACTCAGCATAGAAATAGAGCTGAACCCAATGCACCTAATGTCATTGTTTTTAACAGTAATGTCATATGCCATAATACCATTCATACAATTATACAATATAAAGAGTATTGTAGTTATTTTGGTGTCCACTATACTGCTTTACTACTTTACACACTGTGGATTATCAAACTGGTTCATCATAATTTGCCTTCGTCCTTTTGATTTACTTCAAAATTGAAAATAATTTTTTTTAAACGATTTATAGCCTTGCCTAGAACTAGAAGCTTGGCATATAAACATGAATCATCATGCTTTGAATATATATGACGGTAGGTGACACTATATAGGTCGTGAAGGCAACCGTGAATGCAATTCTTTTCTATTCTGGCAACTGGTGTTCTTCTACCTTCCATAAAGTCTGTGCCTTGAAACTGTAAGCGTAAAACATTTTCTCATTTTCCCAATCATATTGCCATATTTATATAGATAATCGGTGATAAACGTGAAAAGAAACCAGACATTTCTACTACACGAAAAGACCTACTGGATCGTCTTATTGAGGCTGTTGATGAAGAGACTGGCCAAGGTATGGATGAAGAAGAGCTATTTAGCGAGGTATTCGCATTTTTATTTGCTGGCCACGAAACGAGTTCTGTTGCCTTGTCTTGGATCCTTTATTATCTTGCTCAATACCCTGACATTCAGGAAAAAATCCGTCGGGAAGTTTTAGAGACATTAACCGAACAAGAAGGGAGTTGGGAAGCCTACGAGTCAATGGAGTATCTTACAGCCGTGATAAACGAGTCAATGCGTCTCCGGCCTCCAGTTTCTGTATATCGTAGAAAAGTAATTCGCGACGATAATATTCTTGGCTACAATATACCTGCTGACTCTGTGATTGTCATTTCACCTTACGTTGTCCATCGTAAACCTGAATATTGGTCGGATCCGGAGACCTTCAATCCGGATAGGTTCCTGGAATCAAGTAAGTGATTCATGCAAGCTAATGAAACTGGCATTGCTAAGCATTGCTGTGTTATTTCAAAAGTTTGCAGTTTAATATTGTTAAATTGTTTGTGTATATTTGTTTCCTCAGTATTTAGAAAACATTCATGAACACCGGGAAAAATTGTATTTGTAACCTGTAAATGTCGTAAATTCGACTACAATCCTGGCATTTTCAACTTGCTCAAAACGTATTAAAAAACTTTTCTCCATTGAAACATGACTGGATTTTGAAGGGAGTGTGGAAAGGTGCGCACCTCCACTGAGATCGTTTTGCACCTCCCCTGATAATTTTTGCGGGGACGTTTCAATGATAGATCAATGTGAAAATTTGACATTTTTTGGTTGCTTAGGGTCTACACTTCGTAAGAAAGTTTTTCTGTAAAATTGAAATAGTGATAGCCATTCATCTCTGTGTCGAATACCCTTTTAATGCAATGTTTTGAAAGAAACTTTGTAGTAATTGTAATGAAGGGCAAAATTGGATGAGTTGTACAATTCATTAATACACTGATGCATATGTACACTACATGCATACGTCATACATGTCGTTGATTTTGGGATGTTCTAAGCCCTGACTTTCCATGGGGGTTGTGAGCTTGACCGCTAGACATTTATTAGACCTAACCAGGACCAGCTGCAAAAACTATAGGTCCCTGGCGGGAATCGAACCTGAGGCCCTGCGATTCCGGTGCATGTTCTTGTATCACATAACCTACAGAAGGCAGTACTCTAGAACAGTTACTTGAACTTGTGGTTAGAGTTCGACAACTGGCCTCTGTAGCTCAGTTGGTTAGGGCGCTGCACCGGAATCGCAGGACCGAAAGTTGAGGGGACCTAAAGTTGCATTTTTCACAACTGTTCTTGGTTTGTTCGGTCTAATAAATGTATATAAATTTCTACTCCATAAATTCCATCTACAATACCCTTACTGATGATCGTGTTCGTTTGCAGTGCGTGACTACAACTGCTAGGATGCTTTGCGAGAATCTTGGTAGGAAAGGAGAGCAAATAGTCGCGAAGTAGAAGTCACACACCACAATGAAACGTCATTCTGCATAAATCCCAGTACTGTATATACATTCCAATAGGCTGTACTGTTTATTGCATTCAGTCTTGCCACAAGGCCTCGTTTTCATGTGGTTATATCCACATGTCGTGCACACTAGGGTTAAGGATAAGCTTTCGATTGAGGTAAAGATCAAAGAGAAACATATTCGTGAACGACACATGGGGATATAATCTTCATGTGCGCCTGCCATGAGAAAACCAGGAAACACGGAAATGAGGCCATTGGGGCAAATTAAAGTGCAATGAATAGTAAAATCTATCATGAAAACTTGTCGGCTCCTACTGTAAGTCCACGAATTACTTCTGCATCATTTAAATACGTATACCCCAGTGTGTGGGGCGTAGAACTATACAGAAGGTAATGGATATCAACAAGTTGTGGTTTAATAAATTACAGACCTATTCATTTATGGATTAACTATATTCTGTATCATCCTCGTCCTGGGGACCTATCATCCTCGTCCTGGGGACGAGGATGTATGATCTGCATAGGTTACAGTCCGTGAGTTGACAACATCGTCGCTTATAAGCGTTTTGTTTCACACAGAACCTGTCGTAGAATATCGCTGATAAAATTATAGGGCGCGTGAGGACATACTGACTGATACTGTGTTATTTTAAAATATTTTGAATACGTTTGCCCCATGCAAGAGCTAATAAGCTCATCTAGGAGTTATCACTGAGATAATGAGGATCATTTTTTAACTGACAAATTCACAACATTTATTGTTTCTATAGATAATCCCAACAACCGTCGTACTTTCTTGCCATTTTCCAATGGTCCTCGATTCTGCATCGGCTACAGATTTGCTTTGATGGAAATTAAGGTCGTCGTTGCCACCTTAATCCGGGAATTTTCATTTTCAATGATTCCTGGAATGTCATTTGCAGGTTCTATTTCCGTTACCTACAGACCTAAACCTAATCTAGAACTTCTCGTACGAAAGGTGAGCGGATAAGAGGAGACTGTGAGACAATTCAGTATTATGACTAATCAAGATATGGAAATGTAATCAAGACCATATAATTATTGATATATCGAATCATATTTTTCCTATTACATTTTGTGATATACAATCATAAATAGCTAGAATAAATCTGAGACCAAAGACTTTCTGATTCTATTTTGATTTTTGAGTTGTAAACGCTCAAAAATTGCAAAAATGTGTATAAATTTATGCAAAGTCGGCGCAGTTTTGGAAGTTTAAATTTCCAAACTCGAAAGCTAGAAAATCATACTAGCTGTCATACTGAGTTGTATTATCTTTACTTTTTGGCATTCGTTCTAACGGTACACCTTTTTGGGTAAAATTTAACCTGCTATTTCGGTTGGGTTCATTTGTATTTACGCTTATTTCAAAACTTTGGAAAATGAAACTTCTATTGATCCAGACACGAACTGTGGAAAACTACACCATCTTCATGTTTCGGAAGATAGCTTTGGAATTTTCTTTAATCCATCATTAAGCTAACTGGCTTTCTAACAACCGGCCTGTTTAGCATAAATATATACCAAATTACTAATTACGGCAATCAACATGATAAATGACCAAGCGTTGGCGGCCACTTGCCTATTCATCAATTCCGGAAAGACGCTTATATAACAGTCTAAGCATAAGGCGTCTAAAGCGTCATTTGAAGTTTTGAACCATTTTGAACTGACGCGCAGAGCATATGTAAAGATATTTCTCGGCTCTCCAGTGCTCTGTTTGGTCCACGTTAGTGAGAAAAACAATTGGATCAGACAAATTGATGAGAGAATCGATCCTTGGGGTGACGGAGTCTGTAAACTCCTAAAATAATAAAGTTCCTGGTAAGCATTAATCGGTATTTAATTGACAAATATACCATGTGAATTGCAGATTTTGATGCAATATATATTCCTTTAATCAATGTATAGCATCGCCAACCTTTGCCGAGAAGCATTTGAATCAGGCCAGGGAATACTATGACACTTCAATGGTGAGTCGTAATCCTTGCAATATATATACATGTACTTGCTATATGGATGTGTTTATGCTATGTTGTATGCTTGTTATATACATGCATGCATGTGTTCCAACATGCCAAGGACATTCGATTCATAGTTTTACATAGTAATACAATTCTTTAAAGCAATCACTTGATATGGGGGAAAGCTAGATGATACCTCAAATTCTAATTGCCCAATTAAAATTAAAATTGTACGACGTGAGCATGAAATCAGTCTGTAACTCTGTATGAAGGTTACCATCGAATCACCCCCTTGGGGCTTCGCCCATAGATATCTTATATACACTAGATAGTGCATCTAATTATTCTGCAATTCAAAAATTGAAGCCGTGATTGCAGACTCAGGATATTCCCATGAAATGAGAAGACTCGTATGTTTTCTGTTTCTTAAACATGGAACTTAAACATTAAGTTAAACCTAAAAAATACAAAACAATGGACACTCCGAAAACGGTTAACATTTTGATTCGACGTTTCGACTAGCTTGCAGTCATCATCAGGAATGACGCTACTACGAAATACAAAACTATATATACAAGATCAAATTAATGAAATATGATATGTGTTAGTTAAAAATTATGACATCTGGATTCATCTACCATTCATTGGTAAAAGAGGAAACATGTTAATTAACTTCCTGCACCACTAAACTAACACGCTTGCTGAAACGACGCGCTCAATTCATCATTATTTACGACACCACCAGCACTAACACCTCCCTAAGCATGAAAGACCGGACTCGTAAAGAACTACAAAGCAGTGTAGTTTACAAATTTAGTTGCCCTGGATGTAAAGCTTCCTACATCGGAAAGACAGATCGCTGTCTGATGACAAGGCTAAAAGAGCATGCCCGCAGTAAAGAATCAGAGATTTACAAACACATAAATTCATGCGAACACTTCCTGTATTATAGAACGCTATTTAATCTTCCTCATACACTATTTAATCTAGACGACTTCACTTCTGAATCAATTATTTTCAACAACTGTAGGATAATAGACAAATCCAGACATTGGTCTTTATTACTTTTTAAAGAATCTCTATATATTCATCGCCAGAGACCGGAACTTAACCACGGATGTAAAGCCTCTAAGGAACTCATAATTTTTAACTAACACATATCATATTTCATTAATTTGATCTTGTATATATAGTTTTGTATTTCGTAGTAGCGTCATTCCTGATGATGACTGCAAGCTAGTCGAAACGTCGAATCAAAATGTTAACCGTTTTCGGAGTGTCCTTTGTTTTGTATTTTTTAAAATTACTCAGTGGTAACCGTAACTTTTGGCCAAGTTAAACCTATTCCAAATACATTTTCAAACTATTCAAATGGTGAAAGTTATTGTAGTTTTTTAAGCGTTTTATATTAGCGAGTGGGAAACTTCGAATGGCCGCCGTCTATTCAAATGGGTGTAACCGCTGTAATATTCTTGGCTTCAATTTTATACTAAAAGAGATGCGCTATCTAGTGTATATAAAGTAAAAAACAAATTCCGAAAATACAGGACATCTTGAGAATTCAATATATAATTCAAAACAAGACGCAGTTTGAGACTGTAAATTTTCGACTTTATTTCAAAGTCATCTTCATTCTGTCTGAAGATGACTTTGAAATAAAGTCGAAAATTTTCAGTCTCAAACTGCGTCTTGTTTTGAATTATATATTGAATTCTCAAGATGTCCTGTATTTTCGGAATTTGTTTTTTACTTTATTTTTTTAAATTGTCGGCTGGTCATGGTTTTTAGTGTATATAAGATATTTATGGTTTCGCTCTGGAAAAAATAGAGTAAGTACTGTATATCACTTCGGGTGATATTTCGCCGAATCCTCCTCATTCCAGGTTTATAAATGATAAAAAAGTATAGCTCATATTGTAGTTGATACAAAAATGTGTAGTTCATAGGCTTGTATACTCTAAACATACTTGACAAATTCATATGAAATCTCAGTCTTATGAAGATAACGATTAGTCAGGGAGATAGAGGAACAGAAATCACGGCAAACTCACCATATCGAGGGGCAATTCCATTTTGCCTTCATATTGTGCCCTGAAGGCTAGTAAGTACATTTCTGTATGTCAGTGGCGTGAAAAATTTCTTGTAGGCTCCTGCCAACACGATTTCTTCGAATTTTGTATTAAACTTTACAGTAAAAAATGTGAAATTTCAGATACATTTCTAACAAAAATGACTTGCAACATTTGAAAGCTTGCAAAAAACGACATATAAGACATTTAAACGGTTACTAGGGTTTTTAAGTTCTTCTTGAGTTTAATATGAGCTGTTGAAAGCGTGTTTTCAGAATAGTACCCAGGATTTTTGCGCGATTTTGGCTTATTTTTCACATTTGGAACAGCAATAGCTCGAAAACCACTTGAAAATCCCAGCTAACCATTTAAACCTCTTAGATGTAGTTTTTTGTAAGCTTTCTATTGATGCAAGCCATTCGTACATTTTTTAACTCGGTAATAGAGTTTAATACAAAATTCGAAGAAAAACATATTGGCAAGAGCCAATACAAGATATTTTAACGTCGCCGACATACAGAAATGTACTTATAAAATATTTAAAATAATATTTAAAATTATATATAGCGCAAAATACATATGTATATGATCTAATGCGCTTTACAATAAATGAGATAAATACAATCAAAATATAAATACAATATTACTTTACAAATACCTAAAATTACGATCGATTAATAAAAACTATAATGACCTACAATTTACATGAAAACAAGTGGTTTAGTTTGAGCATATATATATGGTTAATAATAATAATTTATTTGGTTTACCACAAAAAAATACAAATACTAGAAAATCATACATATCACAAAAAAAATAATTGTGGTGAGGAAGCCGAAATAGAAACCATCAGGCTTGTATACTTTGGGCTACCTCATTGATTTCAGCTAGATTAAATGAAACATGTGCATGATACTAGGGCAAAGACAGATATTCGAGTAACAATGAAATGAGCCAAATTACTAAATATTGAAACTATATGTAACGAGAAAAAAGAAACGATCTTAACTTAGATTGAAAACTAAAAATAGATGATGAATTACGTATATCGGGATTCAACGTATTGAAAAATTTTGGTCCTTGATAATTGACAGAAAATAGGCGAGTATTTGTCCTGCAATAAGGGACGCTAAGTGTTCTTGATTTACGGGTATTATAATTGTGAATTTGATTTACAGTTAAAAGTGGACATTCAAAACAATTAGGAAGCAATTTATGTTTGTATTGATAAATAAACTTTCCAAGGTTAAATAAATAGATATCTTCGAATTTCAATATTTTAAGTTCATCAAAAATAGGACTGGTATGCACACCGAAGTCTTGTTTATCAATGATTCGTAACACACGTTTTTGTAAGACAACAATGCGATTGAGATTAGTTGAATACGTCGATCCCCATACCGTAATACAATATTGAAGATATGGATATACCAGAGCAAAGTAGAGCATTCGCAAAGCTGATTTGAAGAGATAAAAACTTGATCTATATATAATTCCAATAGATTTAGAAATTTTATGAGCAACATGGGATATATGTGCTTTCCATGATAAGTTCTCATCTAACATTACACCAAGAAAACAAACTTCTTTGACTTTATTAATTTCATTATTGTTTATTTCCAGTTTCAAGTCAAATTTTTGCCTTTTTTGCCTTGGCTTAAATATTATATAGTTGGACTTGGTTGTATTAATAGAAAGTTTATTCGACTGAAACCATTCCGAAAGCTTACATAATTCAGAATTTATCAGACCCATTAAAGATGACAAGTTATCATGAGAATAGAACAAGTTAGTATCGTCAGCAAATAGAATAAACTCTCCAATGTCCGTAGCATTATATATATCGTTTATATATATTAAGAACAGTAATGGGCCGAGGATTGACCCTTGAGGAACACCGCATTTTATTGTGTTGAACAGGGAACAAATACCATTGTACTGTACATATTGCATCCTATTAAATAAGTAATTTTTTATCCAATCAAGAGCCAGTCCTCGGATACCATAGTGTTCGAGTTTGGAAATTAAAATTTCATGGTCAACAGTGTCAAAAGCTTTCGATAAGTCAAGGAAAATACCAACTGTGTGCTCATTGGCGTCAAAGCCTGTAGAGATTTTGTCATAAAGGTTTATAAGTGCTAATGAGGTTGAGTGATTTTTTCTAAAGCCATATTGATTTTTAAATAATATCTGATTAACATTTATATAGTTCATTAAACGATTGTGCACAACTCTTTCCAGAATTTTGGAAACAATTGGTAAAACAGATATTGGTCTATAATTAGAAAACAGACGATTGTCACCTGATTTAAAAATTGGTATTATACGTGCAATTTTCATCTTATCTGGAACAATACCAGTTTCGATAGACAAATTTACGAGTTTGCAAAGAGGTTCAGAAATAAGATCAATACTGTTTTTTACTATCCATACAGGGATTTTATCATAGCCGGCAGCAGAGCCAGAACGAAGTGACCTCACTATTTCAATGATTTCAGATTCAGAAGCTGGCTCAAGAAATATAGTCTTTGCAAAATTACCACCAAGATAGGAACTGGCAGTCTTAAGTGTAGTTGGTATTTGTTTGGCTAAGTTAGGTCCAATATTAGTAAAATAGTCACAGAAACGATTAGCTATCACCGTTGGATCAGTGATATCATAATTGTTGGATGAGAAAAGTGAGGGTAACTTACTTGGACGTTTTTTCCTATTAGTCACTTCGTTTAGGATCTGCCATGTCTCTTTGATATCAGAAGTCGCACGTTTTAATTTTGTTTCGAAATATAAACGTTTAGCTATTCGGATTGAATGATTTAGTTTATTTTTAAAGTCAATATAGGTTTTTTTATTTTTAAAACTCGGTTTCCTCAGATATTTCTTATAGAGTTTATTCTTTCTTTTTATTGATGTTAAAAGGCCGTTGGTCATCCATGGTTTAGAAA